GTCGGTCAACAATCACTTGATTTACACGGATATTCAAAACCATCACATTTGGGACAACAGTCTGTAGACATCGGTAACATTTATGAACCAAAAAAGCCAAGTAGTAAAAAGTTTGAAAAAATTGAGTCATTTTCTACACAAACACAAGAGGAAGTCGGTCAACAATCACTTGATTTACACGGATATTCAAAACCACCACAATTGGGACAACAGTCTGTAGACATCAGTAACCTCTATGAACCAAAAAAGCCAAGTAGTCAAAAGTTTGAAAAAATTGAGTCATTTTCCACACAAACACAAGAGGAAGTCGGTCAACAATCACTTGATTTACACGGATATTCAAAACCATCTCAAATAGGACAACAGTCTGTAGACATCGGTAACATTTATGAACCAAAAAAGCCAAGCAGTCAAAAGTTTGAAAAAATTGAGTCATTTTCCACACAAACACAAGAGGAAGTCGGCCAACAATCAGTAGATTTATATGGGTATTCAAAACCATCTCAAATAGGACAACAGTCTGTAGACTTGAGAAATGTGAATACTAATTATCAAAAATATCATGATCAAGCAATGAAAAGTCCAGAATCTCAAGCTCAACAAACTATTGAATTTACAAGTGATTCTGAAGGACAGAAACCAAGATATCAAAAACAATATGGAAATGTAAACTTTCAATCATCCAAATTGTCGTCACATTCTGGACAATTATCAACTGGTAAAGATGAACCTATTAACTCTAAATATAATAGTGTCTTCGATAAATTAGGTCAATTGGAACATGAAATTCTTGGTGCAAAAAGCACAGTAAATATAAACACAGGAAATTTACAAACTACTTATTCAACTAACCATGAAGTAAAAAGCATGCCTGTACAAATGAGTCAACAAGAATCCCATTTTTCAAAAACCATAAATGAAAACACACAATACATAGAACCAGAATCTGAAATAGCTTTTTCTAAATCATTTAAAAAAGATTCAAAATTAGTAACACAAGATGCAATAGAAAATCATACATCAAATAATGAACACTTTTCAGAAAATCTAACTACGCCATCTTCGGTTTGGAAAAAAATTGGAGATAAATTCAAAGGTACCATTGAAAATGCAAAAAACAAAGCCCAACAGTTAGCATCTAACATTAATGATAAAGTAGGATTTTCAAGTATAACTGGAAACCCATGTTAAACATTGCTATTGTTTAAAGTTTTTATAAAGATTAGCCTTAAAATGTATTTTAAGTTTTTTTTTTTTTTTTTGTTATGATTACTAAATGCAAAATTGTAAAATTGTTTTCTATTATGTAAATATTTAAAATGTATTTAGTAATAACAATTATTAAACTTATTTATTTAAATAAATTTATTGTATTAAAATGAATACACTTAAAAAAATTATTTTATGTATTATTTATTATTTAAATCAATATAAGTACTATAAACTAAAATAAATGGATTATTTGTATAAAAATAACATTCTTACATCAGGTAGTGATTTGTGAAAGCGTACAAATGTTTTTTGCTGTTCTGGATCTGAAAATAATAAGATTAAATAAATAAAAGATATGATAATAATATACATTAAATTAAAATAATAGGTATAATTAATAAGTAAGCTAAAAATAAATAAAATATTTAAATATATTAATTACTAAGCTATAAATAATAAAAAATATAATATATAATTATATTATAAATAAAATAGAAGCCTATTACACATAAATCATTCCTAAGAAATGTCTAAAACAGGGGTGACCAACCTAAATAATCTTGCCACTTTAGAAATGCATTACGATCACGCGAGTTATATATTTTTTTTTATTAAAATTGATTAGGTAATTATGTTGACATTTCAGCGGGCCCCAGATAAAATTATATCAAAAGTAATAAAAAAAAATACATCACTTATTAACATAGATAAGATATAACAGTTTAATTTATTTATTTCACTATTTAGTGAGATACTTTTTGTAAATTTTTGATTATATTTGTGGACTGCAAAACTATTTAAGGCGGGCCGCGGGTAGGCCATCCCTGGTCTAAAAAGTGTATTTAAAAAATGTATAAATGTACTTAATATTTATATGACTGGGTCATGTTAAAATTTGGTTCACAGGATAAAACCAATAAATAATGTACATATAACACCAACAATTATACAGACACATATGCATCTAGGTCAAAATGTTTAAATTAAAAAATTTAGAAAACTTTTAAAAATAAACATTTTAAAACGTAGATAAACCCAAAAAATACAAGTATTTTTTTTTTATAAGAATTAGCTTGAATATTTTATAATAAAATTATAAAATTGCAATTATAAAAAAAAATAAAGATACACAAAATGTTGTTCATGTATTTTCAGTATTTTCACCTTTTGGGCTGGAACCTTACCTCAATTCATCCCGAGTTGAGTTTTTTTTTTAAAGTTATAATATGCAAAATTAAAATGCAACAGATGAATTTTAAGTTGCACAGCATGAATTGGGTACCATTGGATCACAATAGTTAAAAAATAAGAGATAATTAAAACGTCTTTGTGAAGAATACTGTGATGACAATAGGAATATTCCAAATATTTTAACAGCTAATTTATGTCATTGAATCATTTAATAAAAATAAAATAAAATTTTCTATTTATAAAAACATTATTTTAAATTTTTAGAAAATAGTGTAGGTATTTAGTCTAGTAATGAACGCCATTAAATTATTTTATATTTTATTATATATTAAGTATAACGACTAATGTTTGTAAAGCATATTTTGAGACATTATTGCTATTAATGTAATTTATTTTACCATTAGTAATACAGTATATCTAAGTTAAATTATTTTTAAAAACTAATTTTATAATTTAATATTTGAGCTAATTTTATAACAAAAAAAAAATAATGTGTTCAAGAGGATGATAATAATATGAACAGTCAAAAATAAAAAAATGATTATATAATAAGGAAATAATAAGTAAATGCTTGCATTATACAAGAAAGATGATTAGCTCTAAATAAATCCAATTTTTTTTTTTCATTTGCAGTGAAAATTTGATAAAAAGTACTAAAAATTTAAGACTTCTGAGGGACACATTAAACATTGTGGTGATAGGTCTCTGATCAAGGGTTGGACTATTAATATCAATAAGCATTTATCATAATACTTAAACGCCAACTACAGTATACATCATAAGATTGAAACAGACAATTTTTTTGGTGAATCAGCATTTTATATCTTGTGTATATTTTTAACCCATGCAGCAAACAATGCGTATTTTAATGGTGACCACTCAAGTGTCTAATCAATTAATATTAAACTTACCAAGATTTAAATGGTTGATCGGTTTTTTAGACATTTCGTCGATAAATGATCCACAATGATAGTACAGCAGGTACGAAATAGAAGTGCAGTATAGGTTGAATACAACAGCGACAAAATCTATAATTCACGTGTTCCTAGTCAGAAAAGTTGTCAGGATTATTATAGTCGACTAGTTCTTCTTGTACGAGTACAACTTTACAGTTTACAGTATACGGCACCAGCTAATATCTTTATCCTTACATGTTACAGTACTCAGTACTCAGTATCCAGTATCCAATATCCAGTAATCGGTATAGATCACAGACGACCACAGTGACCATTGACCACACACCAGTACTCCACACGTGATATTTCTATATCAATTGGCGCCAAAACGAAAAATAGACGTTGGGTTTGTTATCGTACAAAATATGTTTTGTAGAACCTCTTTGCCCTTAACTGATCCGATTGATGGCTGTTGATTACAAATAATTTAAAATTTTTATTCTTTAGTTTTTACTCATAGTATACACTATACACTAATAAATAATAACAAGTTATAATAAATTAATAAGTCTTTACCCTATATTATTAATTTAGTTAAGTATTGTAATATATGTCTAATAATAATAATAATAATATAGACATCTTGTTTTTTTACCATTCTATTTTTTCGTCATGGTGCCATGGAGGTAATAATATATCGTACAGCAACACAAATGACAACTCGATGTCCAACGAAGTAAACATTTTATGGGGAGGTATATGGGGGATAGATCCTCTCCCGCTTGACCTTTTTTTATAGGTAGTTGTTTCATTTTCTGTATTTCTCAATATGATATTACTTTTAAGCATATCTGTTTTTTAAATGTTCTAGTCGCGGTAATTGTACCGCTCTGATATACAAATGCGTATTTACTATTTAGGGATTTAGTATGTAAGAGAGTTTAAAATAAACCTGATGGGCAGTCGGTAAATAAAACAAAATTAATATGAAGACCATGGGTTTATCCGGGGCAGGTTTATTTTTAGAAAAATTGTTACTAGTAGGTATAGGACTAGCCACTATTTTTTTTTTTAGCGTATTGACTATTGATATCGTGATTACTGATTCATGATTCGTGAATACTGTGAAATGTGAATGGGTAATAACTAATAACTAATAGATGTATATGTAGATGTTATGGTACGGTACTACGGTCGTCACTCGTCATTCCGAGTACTGACTTTTTGCCTACTTGTCGTATTAATTATTGTTAGACTTTATTTTTTGCGTTTTGTTAGTTGTTAGTTTATTACTGTGAAATTTTAAGACAATATAAGTGATACTAAAAAAAAAAAATAAAAACACTTTATTTAATAAAATATAATTATAAACTAGTAATTATTATAATATACTTTGTTTATTAGAACCGACTTAATGGGTTGGCTTTATTGGCATGTCATCGGTCGATACAAATTACAAATCATGCCAGATGAGATTATCAATAAACTGAGCATCTGAAAAAATAGAAAAGTAGATTTTGTATTATAATTTTTTTTTTTTTTGTTATCGTATGAAACTCGGGATTAGCACTAGTAATTAGTATGAATTTATAATAAATACTATTAAATTTTAGATAGGTATTAATGTATTATACAATTTATGTTAATTCTTATTTCGGGGAATTATTGATTCCTCCGGCTACTGTTTAAAATATCTCATATCGATTCCGCCAGCTATTAATTCCGCTGGCTACTGTTTATAATATTTACATATTGAAAAAATGTATTTTTTTATTTTGTATCAATAGACCACCTAATTTGGTAGACTGGTATCCTCTCAGTCTGGACCTGAGTATGTCGCCATTTTTATGAATCTACATTAGTGTCGTAACACAAGAAAGGTTGAGAACAACTGAATTAGACTATACATTTTAGTTTTGAATTATTATAAGACTATTATAATAATTTTATACATTTTACTAAGAGGATGTCGTACCACTCGTACCCACTACCCGCATGTGTTGTCTCCGTATTACACATGTACGACATAGCAAATTTTCGTTCACCGATAAACAATAGCCGGCGGAATCAATACCTAAATATTATAGACAGTAGCCGGTAGAATTAATAACCGGCGGAATCAATATGTAGATATTATAAACATTAAACAGTAGCCGGCGGAATTGATATAAAATTGGCGGAATCGATATACATTATACCCCCCTTATTTCGCCTTGATTTACCCTAACCGCTATAGGTAAAAAGTTAAGGGATTTTAAAAATGTATATTATGTATATATTTATGGCCTTATGGATGTATTATTATTATATATTTCATCCCCCCTAGCAAAATTCCTAAATACGCCACTGCTCTTAATTCCACTATATTTTCAAAATTCTAACAAAAAACAAAATTGCCGAAATTTTCTCTTGAAAGATAAAGACAATGTTGACCAAATTTAAAATGAATAATAATTTTTATAATGTTATGTTTTAGTGTTATGTAATTAAATACTTAATGCGCATAATAAATTATTATTGCCATAACAGATAAAATAAAATAACGTCAAGTAAGTAAATCGTTAATGTAAACATGAACCTTTTGAATAAAAGAATTTCAACCATTTTATCGACCTCAAAAATATAATTTTTATTGGATTAGTATACATGAACCATGTTGATATATTTTTTAATATATTTATCAAATATTTTCTCGTAAGTAGTTACTTTTCTAGGTTTTATTCATGTGTTGTTCTATGGAAGCAGTTTGGCGAATCTAGATTCTAGACAATAGGTGGTGTACTAAGAGTATAGATTATTTATATCTGACGGTAATCCATAAAAGACTTATAGACCTTACACTATAGTCTATATACAAGGTCTATGAATAGACCGTACTAAGTTCTATATTATCATAAATCATAATACTTCCCAAATATATATAATAATATTCATCTCCTCCCTTTCAATAAAATTGGATATTTTAGATCTGCGCTTTATATTTTTAGTTATTTGTTATGAATTCAAAAATATTTCTCGTAGATACTTCTAAGTGTTTATCATAATCTCTATTATTAACTATTTACATATAAACTACAAATACATCAAGGTATTTAGATTTATTTTTAGCTATTTATATAACGCACGTACCTACTACATACTACTCTCACCCTTCTACAGTTATTAATAGCTAGTAAGATAAATGAAAATAATAGTTCTTACTTATTTAGTTAAGATTCTACAGTAAAAAAAATTATAAAACCATGAATTTTGTTCTTAAAGTAGGGCATTTTTCTTCAGAAACCGATTATCCCGATAAAGATGCGAATGGACTGTGAATACGCATTAAAATTTTTGAGAAATACAATGATTTTGCATTACCTGTAAAATAAATAATAAACTTTGAGTAGAATATTTCGACTGAAACTTTAAAAATCTTCTTATATAATGGGTTGTTACCATACAAGTATTATAAATTTATATCTTATTACTTATTAGTATTATAAGAAAACAAGATAGTTTTAAAGACTACGATAAATTTTAAAAAGTATATTATACATTTTAGGTACTTATTCTTGAAAACAACAAAAACTGAGTTACGCAATGTTTCAGTATAAGCGATGGTATACTCGTATTTAATAATATAAAATACCTAATTAACAATTGTAATATCATTATGCGATTATAAAACGATACATTTTTTCGAAGAAAAAACTTATTAAGTAATAAAGTAATATTGTTATTCATAAAACTCACTCATGTGTTTAAAAAAAGTATTATACATATAAATTATAATTCATTCATATGATTATTTGTATTATTTTTCATGGCATTCATTACATAGTTAAAATGAAGATTAATATTTTCAGTATATTAAATAATTATTTAAATATCACCATTACAAGATTGATTACAAGATTAAATATCAAAGAAATATTAAAATGGCTAACATATTCGTAAAGAAATTAATTTCGTATATTATTTGGTAAGTTTTTGCAAACCATCGGTAAAACTATAAGAGATATAATAATGTAGTATATGAAATTCATGATGAGATGTTATAACTTAAAATATTTAAATTAGAATTAAAAATATGTAAATAATGCCATGAGTGGTAAAAAATGAAGTGATTAAGTGAGTATTATTTGTAAATGTTCTTGTTTTTAGTACAAGCATTTTAATGAAGAAACCGAGAATGTATTTTATAAAAATATGTAATTAATATTGTAGAATTTAGATTATAATGTGTATATATATATATATTTTATACCTGCTCCAATTTTTTCTTAATTCAGTCAATATAATATATGTTTCCATCTTTTGGTTTAGATTTCTCCAAATGCACAGGCCACAGAGATATTATAGATAATTATAAGAATACAAAAAAAAAAACAAAATTCTGATTTAATTAAAAAATGTAATTAATTTATATAATTTAAATACTAATATAAGCATAAATAATACATTTATTATACTATCAATTTAATGTCTTTTATAAAAAAATACATAGGTATATACTAATATACTACGTAGTTTATGTACTATTTATTACTATATATTTTCAAGATCGTTTCAAACTTTTTTTAGGATTAACAAGAATTGAATATAAGAAGTCAGAAGACAGTCGTTTAATTAATGGATTAGCATTAGCTTAGAATGGAATGAGTGGAAGCGGGATTTAATTAACTGAGAAAGTGTGGGGACTCTTAAGTCGTTGTGAAGATTGGCCTTTATTAAGTACTATTAAGCAGAGACGATTTTATGAAGGCATATAGATTGGAGTTTGGAAGAATTGTATGGTTCGCAGGTTTAAAGGTTTACCGGAGCCCCATATCTGGATGCCGTACGCACATACCGGTCTCATGAAAGCTTTGTAAATAAACAATTTATTGCTGGTGTTTAATTTGAAGCGGGGAAGTAGGGGCAGCAAGTGAAGTCTAGAGTTTACGGATTTCTTTTTGTTTTTGAGATGTTGGGTCCAAATGAGTCGTTTATCAAACGTTAAGCTCAGGTATTTGACTACAAGGGTTGCTGAAGTTATATTGTTATCAAATGAGACGGGAGGGCAGTTCCTTGTCTTAGTGAAAAGGTAATAAAAGAAGATGGAATTATTTATTTTTATTTTCCATTTTTTAGACCAGAACTGGATAATGTTTAGATGATTTTGTAACCTATCGGATACAGTTTGGGAGTTGTCGTTTGAGGTATAGAGTATAGACCTTTTATTCATAGACGGAAACGGAGCATCATGGCAGGATAAGGGCGGGTGGTGCGGTAGTACAGTGATGTCGATTCTCTAGTACAAAATATTATGCTAATAAAATAGTAAATACATTTAAATAGATTTTATGCAAGATTTAATTATAAAATTAAAGCAGTTGTCAATAGACAACTTTAGCGACAAGTATGATGAATGATGATGTTGATAATTGATATTTATTTTTATGAAGATGATACTATTGATAATACGATACAATAATAATTACTATGGTCTATGGTTTGAGGCCAGGATTATTGTGTCGTCGGCGTTGGTATAATAATGTGTGCAACATTTTCGGAGTGTAATGTGCGAATACAGAGTAAAGAAAAGGCGCTAAATCATTTCCTTGGGGGACGTTGGCCAAAATAGGAAAGTTTTCCGAGTAGCTATTGTTCACTCTAAATGAGAAGGTTTGATTTTCAATATAAGTTTTAAGGTAATTTGAAGCAAGAAGAAATTTTTTAAGTTTGTATAGAAGATCGCCGTGTCACACTCTATGAAAAACTTGAACCACTTAAGTAAAACAGCTGCGCAGTAATGCTTGGATTCCATACTAGAAGATATTAAAGCAACGATATGAAGAAGTTGGTGGTTGGTAGAGTGTTTGGCCCTGAAAAGTATAATTTAAAAACATTTTATGTGTTCCGGGTAGTGTATCTTTAGTGCAATATAGTTTCGACGTACACGGCAATATATTATTATTGTTTTTTGTTAACAGATAAAAAAATGACATTAAAAAATTATGTTTTTATGAATCTGATCTGATGTAAATATGTGGGCAAAACCTATAAATTGATGCATTTTAAGCACATAAAAATTAAAATATAATACAGTAATTAATAGTACATAAACTATGTGTTTTTTTATGAAAGATATTAAATTTATAGTATAATAAATGTATTACTGAAACTTATATTAGTATTTAAATTATATTAATTAATTAAATTTTGTAATTAGATAGGAATTTTGTTTTTTATCTATTCTAATAATTTACCTTTGATTAATGCGATTTGGTACGCCTGTTACATTAAAAATTTATGAATTTTGCTATCCCACTAAATTTGTGTGGTTTTTTTAATAATTAATAATGGATACACCACTACGTGGCTTATTGAATGGTTAGGTTATCTGTATTAGTAAAGTATTCAATAGATGGTGTCGTATGCATCAGTTAGTATTAACTTCGGTGACTGAAATATAGTGGATCTACATGGCTTTTCAATTTAAATCCTTTTTATTAATTATCAAATATATATAAATGTTTAAAAGGTTTCTCGAAAACTTGAAACAAGCGTGACCTTAAATGGATTAAAAAATGCATTATTATTAATGATTCTTGCAACAAAAGTTATTATAAACATTTGCGTAATTACGTAGTACACAAATATATTCGGAGTTTTCAATATTCGTCGTATTTATTGGTTGAAGTCGTTGAAGAAGTTGTATTTCAAATATTGGATCGTTATGTAATAGTTTAAACATGGTATTTAGTAGGTATTTTTATGATATATTTTGCTTATGAGAAGATATGTTTATATTTTTTGCGAGTTTTTAAATATTATTTTTGAATAGATTTTTGATTTGATTGATGAAGTAAAGGACTTCAAATGAAATAACATATGTTTTTCTTCATTATTGTGATCAAACTACGAGTATTTGGTTAATTTTTTATTTACAGCGTTGTAGAAGTAGATTTCAGTATTAGCTTATTTGTGTTCAATTGTTTTGATATAGTATGGTTCATTATATTGCTAAACAGAAATTAATTTTGTCAGTAAATTAAATAATTATTTAAATATCACCATTACAAGATTGATTAAGAATTTATTTGTTCAAAAATAATAAAATAGTGAAGAAATATTAAAATAGCTACCTAACATGTAAGATTTAATTTCGTATATTATGTAACGTCATACTAATATAGTATTAATTATTAAAATTTTCAGAAATGATCATATATGTATGAATTTATTTTTATAGAAAACATGAAGTGACTATAAATGAACTACAAGTATAGGCGTACAATGGATGTGAATTTAGGGGGTGCTGGAATAATTTACAGTAAACAGATCCGTGGGGGGCTGCCCCCCACACCCTCTTAATACCATAATAAACTGCATTCTAATAATTTTTAATTATTATAATTAATATTAAAATGTATTTATATTATATATATATATATAATAATAATAATATCTAATCATTAATTAATTTTAAACAAGATTTAATTTTCTGTTAGAAAATGCAAATTTTTATTATATGATTGCTGTTAATGTTCAACGTTTAGACAAAAACTGGAACAGTGCAACGTGCATTCATACAAAACAATCAATACAATATTAATCGTGAATTCATAAGCTACATATTGTCTATTTGAAATGGAAAAAAAATTCCAACTCAATGAATCACAATAATTTTCAAATGATTGATAAAATACTGAAATAAATTTTACAGGAAACTGGGAGTGCTAAGCACTCCCAAGCACCCCCCCCCCCCCCCTATGTGCGCCTATGAGTCTGCAAGCATGCTATGTAAATTACCTTGTATTTAGTTTAAATATGGTAATTGTGTATATTTATAAATCTATTTTATGTTGTATTTATACCATTTCTAAAGTTTTCTTAACGGGTTAAGTGGTGATGTTTTTTATCTTCGTATCTGTTTTCTCCATTGACAGAAAAATATTATTTGTGGTTAAACGAGTTGGTACGTTTTTGTTGGCATCGTAACAGGTTTCGCACTTGTCATGTAAGTATTTCTTCGTGTTGGTTTTAATTGTAACATATTAATGCTAAATTGAAGAGTTTAGAATGACGATCAATTATGTTTCATTTTAATGGTTAACATTACGCGATTCGATTTAGTTAATTTTTTGCATCAAATAATATTGGTTTAATTAAGCTTTTACCATACTTATCGGTAGGTAATACTGAAGGAAGCAATAAATTAATTTTATAATATGAAGTTAAAATTTATAATTTAAAAGCTAAAATTAAACATATGTAACATTTATGTAAATAATAATATATGTCAGAAATAATTAAGTGACTAGGGTAGCAAGGTTTGTTATAATATGCCTGTATTTATTACAAGCGTTGTGATGAAAAAAATACAAAAATAAAGGTACTTTTAAATAATATAGTAGTTATAAATGTATATTATACTAATTTTTACCCATCTTGAAGATTTTTTATCTCGACTTTAAGAGTATCTATGGTTTTCTTTTTTTTTTTTGGTTTTTTTACTGGCAGGGAATCATTATTTGTTATTAATTTAGCTGGTGAATGTGGTATTGACATCTTGGACAAATTTGCATTTAGCTTATTAGTGTTCTTAACTGTAGGTTTGTATTCAACTGTTTCACTGTTAAATTGAAAGGTTTATAAAGAAATTCAATTATATGGCACAATAAAGGTCATCAATCATGAAACTTTTCGATTTAATTTAGTTTTCGTATCACATCGCATAAGTTTAGGTAAGTTATTGTAAATTATAGGTATAATAAGACTATAGGAGGTAATATATGAAATTCATGATGAGATGTTAAAACTTATAATATTTTTTAATTAAAATTAAAAATATGTAAATAATGTCATGTGTTATAAGAAATGAAGTGACTAAGTGAGTATGGTTTGTGAATTTTGTTGTTTTTAATACAAGCATTTTTATGAAGAAACCGTGAATGTATTTTATAAAAATATGTTACCTATCAATATTGTAGGTTAATATAACGTTAGAGTTTATATAGATTTAATACCTGCTCCATTTTTTTCTTAATTCAGCCAATATATTATCAACGGTTTGTATCGGCGAATAAAAATTCTTCGGTTTCTTTTTGTATGGTATTTTTGCAAATCTAAATTAGGAGGTTTATAATGAAGATACATTTTATTAAATAGCATTTTAAACTTTTAAGAGTGAATTTTACATAATTCTATTTAGTTTAGTTTTCGTATTTAATTATATAATTATGTATAATTTTATATAAGTTAAAAATTTGTTAAACTAAGGATAGGTGTGAAAGATATAATATATTAAATTCATAATACATATGCTGTTATAATGTGTAAGCCAAAATTAATAATATTGAATTTTTATGTTATTAAATATGGAAAAAAATAAATAGTTTTTTAAGTGAGTATACACTGTGAATTATCTTGTATTTACCACAAACATTGTGATGAAGAAACTGTTACTGTATTTTATTAAAAGCATTATGTTTTTATACCTATGCCAAAATATTCTAAATCTTTCCATTCTTGAAATTTGCGCTTTCATTTTTGGTTTCTCCAATAAGTGGAATGAATTATTACTTTTTAAACCAACTGATTTGTGTTTTATTACCATTGCAGTTTTTTCCGATTTTGATATGTTCTTATTATTTAGAGTTAGTTGATTTTGATTCGTATCGCCGCTAAAATATACAGTTTGTAAATACGAAAGATTATATGGAATAAGTAGTTCAAGTTATAATTAAACAATTTTATTTAATTAAGTTTTCGTGTAAAATTATAAAGATTTATTTAAATTCTTGCTAAACAGCCTAACCATAAGCAGGATTGAAGAAGACAATTTATGTTATTTATAAAATGTTATAAAGATATTTAAGTACTTTAAATCATTGCAGAAATTTCATACACTATGTACAAATACAGAGCGTTGATTAGAGTCAATTTTTAAAATTTTTTTTTTTTTATGTAAAATGTACAACATTTAAGGGAAGTATGGTTTATTATATATAAACAATTTAGAAATATATAAACTGTATGTAACTAATATGATTTTTCAGAAATTATAAAGCAAGTAGGTGAGTAAGCATTGTAAATTTTCTTAAATTTATCACAACCATTGCAATGGCCAATGGATAAACCACAAAAGCATTTAATTAAAACATATTTTCAGAAATATATGTAATAATGTTTTTACATATTTTTTACCTATTCTGAAGTTATCTTAACTTATTTATTTTGTACGTACGTATTTCCGTTCATTGTGTTTGCCTCAACTTTTGGTACAGAAACAACATTTGTGGACAAAATAGTTGCTGCTTGTTCTATGGATACCGATGTAGGTTTCGATCTTTGCATGGTCGTTGTTGTTTTTATTGGTTTATATTTTTTTGTTTCATTGCTAAATTAGATGGATTAAAATAAAAAGAAATAATATATCATTTTAAAAGTCATCTTAAGACGATTTGTTTTATATTAATATTTTATCAAATATTTAATTCTAGTTAAGTTCATGTGAAGCTATGAGTAACACACAAGTAGACAATATAAGAAATTAATAATATGTTGTTAATGTTGTTTTAATATCTAAACTAAAACTATGAATAATATGTAATATTTATGTAAATATAAGGGAAGTATTTAGATGAAAATGATTTCTGAAATTTTTGTTTATATTATAAGCACTATAAGCACTATAGTGTTTTACTAAACTTAACCTAAGCTTATGATAAGGAAATCATGAATGTATTTTTTAAGATGTTATTACTATTTTAATCAAAAGGTTTGGACAACCATAAATCTCAATTATTTGCCAATTCTAATTTTTCTTAAAAAGACGTTAGTTTTTGGAGAGCTACTAGGTATTAGGTTATAAGGTTATGAGGTAACTTTATGATAAAGACATAATTACACGGAAAAATGATATAGTATATTATAGTTTATATCAGGGCTTGCATTTGAAAAAAAAAATTTGATATACATTATTTACAAATAAAACGTTATATAAATTTTGAGTTTATCGTTATTCAGAATTTAAACGTTTTTCAACTTTTGCGTTAATCGTTAATCGAAAATCGAAATTAAAACATTATTAAACTTTTGGGTTTATCGTTATTCAGAATTAAAATTTTTAATAAATTTTATAATTAATCTTAACTATTAAATAATTGGAAATTAATTATTTCTTTTTATGATATACTATACATAAAGTTTTCCGTTATGTTTTGTTTAATGATATATCATATATTTTGTTAATCATTATGTTTTGTTTTGTGTTATTTAATTATTTATGTTTATCGTTTTTCGTTATAATTACGTTTACAAATTTCAATCGTTTTTTGTCAAATAAAATCATTATAATCGTTATAATAATCATAACGTTCCAAGCTCTGATTCATATTAATAAGTATGTATAAACTTTAGGTTCACCAAAAAGATTTTAAAATATACCACTGATTGTAGTTTTTAATGTGATTATACCGTTTAGGAAAATTATTTGATGCGATGTCTTTCTTTTGTGTTAATGATTTTTTTAGTGCCACAGAATCACCATTTGTGGATAATTGAACTTGCTTCGCAATTTCATCGATTGTATATAGTTGGCTTTGTTCATCTATGAATTTGCTTGTACTTAGCATAAGCATAGGAATGAAGAAATCAAAAATGTATTTTATAGAAACATGTTTTCAATATTATAGAATGAAATATATTTACAGATTTTTTTACCTGTTATAAAGTTCTCTCAACTCATCTATGAGGCGCATACTTTCTTTTATCGTGTTTGACGCAAATTCAGACTTAGAAAAATCATTTGTGGTTAAAAGAGCTGGTGTATAATTTATTAAGAACATAATCTGTCTCGCCGTTAGATCGTTCGTATTTATTTGTTTAAGCTTGTATTGTGTCATTTGACTGCAAAACAAAAAGATTTATTACGTTGATAAGTTTTAAAGAATTAAAGGCAGAATAAAACAATTTGATTTGATTTAATTTTTGGATCAAAATAAAGATTAAAGGTCAGTTAAATTTTTTAAAACTATTAGTAATAACGAAAAATCATTGAACAGAGACAATAATAAGTTGATAAAGTACACGATATCCTAAAATTAAAAATATTTATTATTTGTGAAAATATGTGTAAATAGGGTGAAGAGGTGGGCATTAATTGAAAATGTTCATAAATAATATACAAACACTGTGATGAAAAACAAGAAACACATTTTATAATGTACATTATGTTCTATTTATACTTAAATACCTTTCCAAAGATTCTCTCATCATATTATATTTCATATTTTCATTCTTCATAGTTGTCCCAACCATAGCATGTGAGACATTATTTGTGGTAAGGAGAGGTGGTAAGTTTTTCATTGAAGATATATATGGTTTCGCAGTCTGATCGCCTTCATTTGATTGTCGCGGGATGGATTGTATAACTTCACTACGAAATTGGATAGTTGAAAATGTCGATAAGTTTAAAAGTACTAAAAAGTATTTATTGAACTGTTTTATTTAGTTAGTTTTCGTACCAACTCGTATAAATTTAACGAATTTTTGTCAAACTATTGACAAGACTAAAGGAAAAATCCAATGAAATCCACAACATATATTTTAAACACGATTAAGTACTTTTAATCGTAACAAAGGTCCCCATACAATTTAACATAGTATAATAATACAAGGCTGTATGGATTAAATTTTTATAATTTATTTTTTACATAAAAATAATGAAATTTCAAGCAGTATAATATAAAATATACATCTATTAAACTTGAAAATAAAAAAAATTTATGTAACTCAAATAACTTTTCAGAAATAACTAAATAGGTACTATAAAAATTCTTATAATTACCAAGTCATACAATATTATAATTGATAAACCACAAAAATATTCAGTTATAATATGTCTTAAAAATAATAGGTTATATTGTATTTATCGATATTTTTAATGTACTTGAAAATATCTAAAATAATATAGATTGTACTTACATATTTCTATTCATCGTGTGTGATTCAAAATCTGACAGAGAAACATCATTTGACAATAAAGTAGTTGGTTCTCCTATTGTAGACGCAGAAATAGATTTCGATCGCTGCACAATCGTTTTTGTTTTTATCGGTTTGTCTCGATTCTCTTCAGTATCTCCTTTCATCGTGTCTGTTTCAACATCTGACAGAGAAACATCATTTGACAATAAAGTAGTTGGTTCTCCT